TGCATGAGCCTGCGCTCAACGCCGAGTCAACGACCTGTTTGCCGGCATCGATACTGGGTACGGAACGAAAGACGGCACCCCCAACTCCAATGCACAACGGAGAAGCTTTATCCCTGAGTGGAAATGTATGGTTAGGAATGGAATATTCGTTGAGATGCAAGATTACGTACCACCCAGCGACTACTCCAACTACACGACCACGAGTGATCGCGTAGAAAGGACCGGGGGTGCCAACTGCGGGCGTTATGTACGAGAATCCAACGGGGAGGACATGATAAGGAGGATATCCTACTCGTAATCAAGAGAGGTTCATATGAACGCCAAGAAAAACCACTAACCGTTATTGGTCGCGGGGAAAGCGACGTTGGGGACGACAGGTGGCGCGACCGGGGAAGGAGTCGCGACAGGAACCGGCGCGGGCACTTGGGAGGAAACCGCAAGGGCGGGAGGAGGCGTCACTACGGGTAACGAAGCTGGGGTAGAAGCCGCGCCTCCGACAAGAACCGGGTGGCGGTGACAGCTCCTCCGGGGGAGGAAGATACTGGCAGAAGAGGGAGTAGCCAGCGCCGGCTGGGAGGCATAACTGGGCGGGGTCGAGGTTGTGTTGGCCGCCGCGAGACACGTGGGGCTTTGACAAGGAGCGTCCAAGGCGTTTCGGTCCTCTATAAGAGATGGTGAGCAAAACGAGGACAAGCAAGAACTGAAAAAAAATCACCAGTGGCTGCGAGAACGAGATCACACAACAGGGATGCTTGGTGGTCATCGAGCCGCAGGTTGAGCAACTGAGTAGCCAATTCTATCGAGATCAGTCAGCTATGGCGAATATGAAGGCGTCAAAAAAGCACGAACCCAGGAAGTCAGCGGCGTCGAGGTTGCGTTGGCCGCCGCGAGACATGGGGGGCTTTTGGGACGACAAGCTTCGGGCCATATCAAGCAGATTTTTTTTGGAGAGTGTGAAGCAGGGATAAGAAGCTATTGGCCGTGAAGTCAGCTTTAAATAATGAATCCGATAGGTATTACTGTACAGTCGCGGCGTCTTGAAAGTAGGTTTTTGCCGAGGAAGGTGGGCGGCGTGAGACCTAGATCTAAATGCAGAACATCCGCCGCCGTTGAGCGGTCTGCTGGTCCAAAGAGAGCACCGATAGGTATTACTGTATAGTCGCGGCGTCTTGAAAGTAGGTTTTTGCCGAGGAAGGTGGGCGGCGTGAGACCTAGATCTAAATGTAGAACATCCGCCACCATTGAACTGTCTGCTGGTGAAAAGAGAGCACCGACAAAACGCGTTCAATTTTTAAGTAGCAGGCAGCATGAGCGAGAAAAGGAAACCAAAGTACAGTCACGCTTCATCATCACCGGCTAAAGCTGGTTAACCGATTGCCCGGCAGGCAGATTCCGGATCCAGACGAAGACGACGACGACGCTCCCGCCGACGAGCCTCTGTCCGATGGCGACGACGTCGACGAGGACGACATCAAAACCCTCACTAAGGGCTGGGTCAGTACCTTCCAGAAGAAGTGGCTCGACGGTGCAGCACTCGCCTACGCTCAGGAACATCACCTTGACGAGTTCTGCCGAAAGAATGCGGAGAGCGCGCGCGAGGGAACAGCCTACGCTCATGAGGCATCTAACGACATGATGCGCACTTTCGGGGTGTTTGGGCCTTGGGGCAAGAAGTCAGCCGTCCAAGAGGATGATGATGCCGAGGAAGATGATGGACGCGCCTACGACGATGTGGACGACCTCGTGAGCTCCGAAAAAAAGGTAAGCGAGTTCAGACAAGTGCTTTGAAGGGCTGAACACATTTTTATTGCTTTTCCGTAGTCAGGCGATTCCAAGAAGAGTGCTGCGACAGACGAACCGACTGAAAGCGACAAGGTCTGTTTCATACATTCGTACCGACGTACATTCATATCTGTTTCCTCAGGGCGCCTCCAGCGCTGGCAAGACGGAACCAACAATCCAAGCACGCGAAGCCGAACTGCTCAAAGCTGCTCATATTACACGTTTTCGGAATGTACGTTGTCGTCAGCTTCTACTATGTGATTCATCTCATGCCGTTGTCAGAGTTTTACCGCCTGGCTACGCTACCAATACAAAGACCGAGGCGGCGATACTCTACGCGGCCGTGGCAAGAGCAAAGTCTCTGGACGCCCTCGCACGAAGAAGAAATCCAAGCATCGGTCCTACGATGCCGAGGGAGAAGATTTATCTCGACTTTTGATACACGAGTTACTCGGCCTCGGACAATCCAAATTCCACGTACCGCACGCCTTCCAACTTTGGGCCAAGGATCAACCATCGAAGTTTCGGAAGAGATTTTTGAAGAAGTTCGCGGAATCAGGTAAACCCACACGCGGGAGGGCGGGTGCTGAGATGGCGTACTGCTCGAGGAAATTCCACGAGTGTGACGATGACGAGAAGGAGATTTATCGCGTAAAGGTCAAAGAGCTCAAGGAGGAAGCCCGGGAGAAGCAGGACGCACTCCGGGAGTCCTTTAACACACGGTTGGATCCACAGGATGCTGCGAAGTGTGTTGCTCCATCTTCTATGTGAGCACGCTGTTCTAACATTAATGCAGGCTTTTGGAAGCGATGCCATACATCTTGGACCCCTTGCTTACCTCTTTGAGCGCGATGTTACACGCCAAATTGTCACTTCTCATTGGTGTGCCCGAGCCAACTCAAGGAGGCGTAGTCACAATCAAGTCGTAAGTCATCGGCTAAGTCGTTTCCGACATGGTATTGACCCCAGAATAGTTTCGACAAAGGCGACAATCACGAAGATGTCCCGGCAACCTTTGGCCAAACGGCCCATTATGCCCGACACGTCGACGCGTTCAAGGAGTTTTTAAACGACGCATATAGTAAGTCTTGTTGACTATGTCCTCACACTGATGTTGATATTGTTATGTAGCGCAAGACGAACTACGCGCGTGCGCGATCCCAGGCTCGTTGCCCAAATCTCCGAGGAAAGGATCTGCGTCTGCCCAGAGAAGCGATGGCAAGAAGGTGGTCATCATTGTCCAGAACATGGTGCTTCCTCCGGGCGAGAACTGGATCACGAGGAAGGACACATTGGAGAACGAGGAGGACGACGATGAGGAGCTGACTCCCATTCAGTTTCGCCGGCTGCGCAGGGAGAAGCGAGAGGCCAAAGCGCAGGAGATGGAGGAGCATGGGCCGCCTGCCAAGCGACCACGGGGTCGGCCGAGAAAGCAGAAAGTGCAGGACGAGGATTCTGAGGAAGACAACGATGGACCGCGACAGGCGAAGAAGAAGAAGACAATGCCGGAGCCCAAACAACCCAGGCGGTCGAAAAAAGCGACAGCAGCGACGACCACAGCTTCTGGCTCGACCACTCTCGGGGACATCACGACTAGCCGCGGGAAACAGAAGCCTGCACCAAAAATTGCGGAGAACAGGCGAAAACTATTGGCGCTGGCAGCTAGCGTTGTAGCCTCGTCTGAGGAGCCGTCGGCGCCACCTGCTCGTGGTCGCGCGAGCCGCAAGCGACCTCGTAGCCCTTCGATTTCCCCAGAGCGAACCCCAGAGCCGTCGGCGCCGCCTGCTCGTGGTCGCGCCGGGCGCAAGCCACCTGCTCGTGGTCGCGCCAGTCGCAAGCGACCTCATAGCCCTTCGATTTCCCCAGAGCGAACCCCATCTCCTTCCCCTACCCATCCTCGCCCAAAGCCTCGTCCTCTTCCGAAAAAGCAAGTCGTTGTGGCCATTCCACCTCCAAACCGCCCAAAGCCGCATCCAGCCATCATCAACGATCGCTTGCTCACTCCAGTCCCAGAGGCTGATGAGACGCGCGACCAGGATCTGGGACCTCAAATGGACCAAACAGACGTGGGGGGATTCACGAATGCTGGAGGCGTTGACCGTGATTTTGTAATTGACGACACAGGCTTCGATCTGGGCGTCGACGAGTTTGAAGTCGAGGTTCCCAGGATCGACGACGAGGATGGTATTGACGACATCTTCAAGTCCCCGCCGAACAAACGACGGCGCACCACTCCTGACGAAGACGAGCCGAATACCACGCCTACTCCTGCATTTCCAGCTAAAACTCGTCCTAAAGCTCGTGTTCCTCCAACGGGGGATCACCGGCTTCGCAAAGCTTTGCCGGCAGGAAAGCCACCATCCACTCGAGCTGCCAGTGTGGCGCCAGCTCCTATTCCATTCAACCCTTTCGATGAACGCCGTTGGTCTGACTGGTTCAAACTTTGCCATATGCAGTTCGAATGCATTGCAAGCCCTGATTGGGTTAATTTGCTTCGGGTGTGGACTCAGGTGGAAGGTTTGGCCGAGTTTCGTCTGGGGAAAGTCATCCTTGGGTACCAGTCGACTTTGAAGCCGGACGCTCTGACACAGTGGGTGAACATTCGCAGAAGGACTCCGATAGTCTTGACGAAGAGGCAGCTGAAGGGTTTCGCGGGGGATTTCTGGGCGTGGTGGATTGACTTGCAGCCCGAGTGGAGAGACGTTGCAGGTTGTCACGGTCCTCTTACCTTGGAGCATCGCCCTCTGCCAGCTGGACGTAACTGGGGACAGTTGGCTGATGCGAAGGGCCGTAACGGTGTCGTGTCGGTCATTGCCTGTTTGGCCTGGTGGGGTGTTCACCATGTCGTGGAATCGGGTCCTGCAGTCCTCAGAGCAGAGTGGTATGAGGCTGTTGCCGATGTGACATACGTTTTGGACAGTATTCTCGAGGAGTGTATCTCCGCGTGAAGATGTATACTGCGTGTCCGTGTCGTACATGCTCCATGTCCGTGTCGTACTATCATTACTTACCTGCTTGACGTCGACATTTGATAATTTATTTCCAGGTACTTACCTTAGATATCTACTTATATTTAGACTTAGATGTAGACAGTTCGTACCATATAGACATAGACATAGAATATAGATCTGGGGCATTTGCATGTCCTTAAAAATTTGTTTCAATACCTTGAACCTTTCATAAGCCAATAGAGAGCCTCTTCTGCTGTGAGGTATCAAGCCTGCTTAGCTCAGTGGTTAGAGCACCGATATGCAATCAAGCAAGAGGTCTTCTCTAATTCGGAGACACGGGTTCGAATCCCGTAGCAGGCAATGTATAGAGGTCGACCAGCAAATCTTAACTTTTTTCAATGGAAGATACTATACTCAACAGTTTACAGGACGGTTTGTACAGTACACTCATACTGTTCCGTAAGATGCGCCAATGCATGCGGTTACAGGTACGGTACGGTATTATTGTAACTCATTGGGAAGAGATCCTTAACTAACTTGGTATGTTTTAGGAGGTGCAAGAGGGCTGGAGGTGCTCATTTCCACATCAACATCTTCGCTTTGATCTTTACCGATGGGTAACATCCTGTATACGGCTTTGTTGCCTCAAGCCATTCCGTAACTATACCGTACCATACTGAGCCGAAATCAGACCCCATATAGCACTGCAACTATATGGGCCGTAACCGTATATACTACAGTGCGGAGCCCTACCCATACCCTTTCTGAGCATTTTTTTTTAAAAAAGAAAGAATATTTGGCAAATAGCTATGAATTTTTTTTAAAAAAAATGCTTATTTGGCAAATAGCTGTGAATTTTTTTAAAAAAAAAATGCTTATTTGGCAAATAGCTGTCAATTCACAAAAGAAAAAAAACTTATTTGCCAAATTGCTATTATTATTTTTTTTTAAAAAGAGCTTATTTGCCAAATGGATGTCGACTATAAATTGAGTGAATTTGTCAAATGAGTGTCGACGGACAGCCTGTCCATGGATATCCTGTTTGGCAAATATTTTTGTGTCCAGGGACAGGCCTATTTGGCTCAAAAGGTATTTTCTGGCTGGCTCATCCTCATCAACATCTAATGCCGAGTCGTAACTGCGACGCAACAGCGCTCTGCCGACAGTAGCTCCAACCAACTCGCCATCCTCGCCGCCACCCTCTGAGTCCACTGCCGAGCCAAAGAGTTCGTCCTCGTCAACTTCGGAGCCCAGTGCGTCATCCTCGTCTATCTCATCCGCGTCGGACTTGAAGTCGTCCTCGCCGGACCCGTAATAGTCGTGAGGCATGTTCTCGTCGGTTTCTGAGTCGACGCTGTTGAGCTCATCCACATCCACATCTAATGCTGAGTCGTAACCGCGACGCAACAGCGCTCTGCCGACAGTAGCTCCGATCAACTCGCCATCCTCGTCGACCTCTTCCATGTCATCGCTATCGATGTCAGAGGTCGACCCGTAATCGGCTGCAGCCGCCAGCGGCAAATCGTCGTCTAAAAGTTCGTCCTCGTCGACTGCAGAGCCCCACAAGTCATCCTCATTAGCTGCAGAGCCCAGCATCTCGTCCTCGTCCACTTCCGTGCCCAGTGCATCATCGCCAACGACTTCAGCGCCTAGCACGTCAGTCTTGTCTATCCTTTCCATGATTGGCTCGACAACGTCCTCGTCGATGCCAGAGGTTGGCTTGTCGGCGATGTTAGAAGTCCTGTGGCCCCTGATGTTGGACTCCTGGCGGACACCGAGGACGTCTGAATTGGGATCGACGTTCTGAAGCTCGTCCTCGTAGACGCTTTCGAGCTCATCCTCGTCGACGCTTTCGAGCTCATCCTCGTCGACGCTTTCGAGCTCATCTTCGTCGACGCTTTCGAGCTCGTCCTCGTCTACTGCAGCACCTATGAACGCGTCCTCATCTACCTCCTCCATTTCCATGTCCTCGTCAATACTCTGCAACATATCGCAGTCAAAGTTCGGAATTTGGTCGAAGGACGTAGGGGCATTGTGGTAAGCTGAGTAGGAGTCAGTTATGATCTCGACGATACGCAAGACTTAGACTGACAGGATGTTTGAGGGACATTAACATTGCTTTCTGCTCGTCTCGCCTTGAAGCCACTTCCTTCACACAAATTCAGTAACACTTTCATTGGTGGAAAGACAGAAACGCACGAGAAATGGTGTTCTGCACGCGGGGTAACGATGCAGGTGTGGCGGGAATTGTCCAAGCTGCCGGCGCTCGGAACGTGAACCCAGAATGTCGGTCGGAAGCGTCCTCATTAGAGGCATTACGTTGTACGGAAGCTTCTGTATCTTGGAAAGTCTCAGATCAATGTCCACGGCAAATAAGAGCGACGTACGAAGCCTGTTGCGTCGACGTCGCTGAGTAGTCGGCGGAGGCGATGGTAAGTCCACTCGAGGTTTCTTCGATGGAGAAAGACGTTCGACGGGAATGCTGCGTTTCCTTTTTCCGGTTTGTTCTGAGGGCGTGACCGCGTTAGCATTGCAGTTCCAGCACATCGGAAGACGACACACCCATGAATACTATCGATTCTGGCTCCCAAACTGGACGATGAAGGAAAAGAAGGGCCAAGAAACATGCGAGCGACGGTTAAATTAAGCGAATGAGAACAAAGTGTCTTTCTGCTGATGATGGTCGAAACAAAGCGCTTGGCTTTCGGCTTGCTTTCGGCCAACAAAAGCTTCGGTCACGTGTGCGATGCCTTCTGCGCTCCGTTTAAACCTCGACCTCAGCCACTACACACTTGTATACGCCATGAACGCTAAACGTCATCAAAATTGGGTCTCCACTGATGCCCTCCGACGACCCGCTCCGTTCACCAAGCGGCGCTGTGCATGCAAAGTTGTACGTGCCGCAGCGTAAAGCTTTATTGCTTAACAATATTCGTTCTAGACATACGCAGGACTGTGTGGTATAGCGGGAACTATCATCCTAGTTGCCTTCTTTCTTTTAGGATTGGCTGTTTCCCGGGCTATATCTCTTCCCGACGTCTTCGAGGTGAGTTATTTTTATTTAGACAGTCAGTCGCCACTCAAAACAGGTAGATGCTCGCGAACCCCTGGTCTACAGCTGTCCACTCACCCGTACACACATGCAACTTTGCGGAGATTACGACCGGTGCCGAAGTTGTGATGTCGCTCACCTCGTATTCCATCGCAGTTGAGCGGGTTCCTTGGTATGGGCAGATTTTCCTGAGCGCATGTTCTGGACGCGATTTCGAGGGCTCCCGTCAACTGATCTCAGCTCAACTTGTCTTTCGACAACGAGACGAACGTGATGGCACCTGTTGGATGTTTGCTGGCAAGCATGGTACCATTGCCGTAATTCTTGCGAATCCCACAATTTCTACCTCCTTGGTTGTTCACCAACCAGTTTCCCATCAGCTAACGGCGAGAACTGCGGCACAGGCTCCTCGCCATATTGTTCTTTGGGGCCTGATGCAATCTGAAGAGAATCAGATCATGCCTTCCGACACGTCTTCTCACTGCGGCCGAGACGAGTCTGCGTTGGAGATGGTGGTAGTCGACCGCTTTGCTTCGTCGGGACACTCGAAGAATCTGCCCCCATTCATAGGAAGGGACACGCACCTCATCAAAATTGGCGAGTTCATCAGGAAAAGCACTTTGGCATCTGGTTGACTCAAGTTTAGGCACCTATTTTCTGGTTAACCCAAGCAGCTTAAGCTGCCGGAGACAACTAAAAGTAACTTATCACAACTCAGGAATTCTATCTTTCCCAGAGTTGCTCCAAGTCTTCAACAGTTAACTCAGAGTAGCCTGGGGATCACCCTTCCATCAGAGTTGCTACAAGTCTTCAGCAGTTGACTTGAGTATGCATGATATGATTAAACTAACTAATACACACTTAGAACCAACTCAGAACAAATGATTCAACTTTCAGTCAACACAACAGAACTTGAAAATACTTCAATTCCACAAGATATAGGTAGACTAGTACTGCATAAGACTCCCCCGTCGCTGTTGAAGGCAGCGCTCCTCATCGTCCTCGTTGTGGCCCGTCTCCGGACGGGCCCCCTCCTCCGTGATTGTTCGTTCTTTTTGTCGACCTAGTCGTCGAGGGTTGTTGGTGTCAAACAGTGCCAGGAATGCACTCTCTCCAGGCAGTGCGACAACATCTGACCTGAATTCCGCCTCAGCCGCGTTGCAGGTGCGGAGCAGAAAAATGAAAACGTCCTCAAAATCACAGACCTACGGTCTAGGAGCGTGGAATGAGGTAGAAGTAAACGGCAGGCGCGTTCGCAGAGCATAAGATAAGCCAAAATGCCGTCACGGATAGTCCAGAGCCCGTCAACTCGGTAATGGCGGCGCGTTGAGGCGAGGGAACGGACGCCATGTATATCGATGGTGGTGGTAAGTGGTCATCCTGCGTCGCAGAGAGGTGCTGTAGTGGGAGGAAGGAAAAAATAATTCTGGACATCCGGCTTCAGAAGCCCACCACCGTCATCGCCCCGAAGCGTTACTGCTCCTTCACGAAGGCTTACGCGATGGCGTCGCTGGCCAGGCGAGCAGAACATAAGCCAATCGTCCTCACGGCTGCCGGAAGCCGCTTGGCCCAGTAAACGTCCGTGAACACCCGTCGTCATTGGATGGAAGGGTGTCATTGGGGTCAGTGCGCAAGATGTGCACCGGAGCCGTTGTTGAAAAATGTTGCTGCTCCGTCGTCCTGGAGGCTGACGCGTTCGTGCTTTGCGCGACGTGGGACCAGAAGAAAAGCCAACCGTGACTCCTTGGCTGTTTGAAAGCTGAAGGTACGAACAGCGATGCGAGGGGACGAAACGGATGGAAATGGGCGCCGCTTCGAGTAGAGGGGACTCGACGCCTCATGAACGCGAGATGGCCTTTGGTGGTGTAAGAGAGGAAGAAAAGAGATAATGAAAAATGTACCTGTGCTGGCAGAACGAGCTGCAGCCAATCCGCGCCCTCTGCCGTGCTCTCCATGCCTCCTTCCGGAGGCATTACTGTCCACCACTGTCCGAATCGAGGTTCCTAGCGTCGTCGTAGGTGTGAACAGGACGGCCCAGGGAATAATCCACTATTATGAAGCCGGTGCCGTTGTACACAAACGACTCGTGCTGCTCCGTTCCGGAGGCTGATGCGTGCGCAGTGCTCGTCCGAAGCGAATAGGTGGAAGTTGTTGTGGCAGGATGGCAGAAACGAGTTCATTGCTGATGCCGTAGTGGCCGTGGCCGCTGTTGTCCTCCCTATCGATAAAGTCGTCGAGGTCCTCGTCCTCCGTCGCGACAATTAGCGGTACAAGATGTAAATTCTGGTCATCGCTATCCAAGGCATCC